TAGCTAGTAAGAAAAAAAAAATTAGCTAGTAAGAGCATCCTTATGAGAGCATAACATAATTTAAACTAACTAACATCCATAACATGCCTCCATCCAAAAATATAATTCAACTAAATCTAGGATGACAACTAGAGGCCCACGAAGTCCTCCCAAACTCGGATACATCCAATACCACAACTTAGTATACAAAGTAACAACTTTACATTACAATACCCAAAATAATAATCCCTCTATGGGATGATCAAGTGTACATCATAAATGTCTCAAGGCAACCTTTTCAAACACAATATTTGAGTGCTAACATTTCTACATAAGTTCGAAAGGAAAATACAAAAAAGCTCTAAAAGAGATTCTTTTTAGTCCAAGTTCCCACAAGCATTCCATCACCTATGCCCCAGGATGCATGCTAGTCTCTGAAAATATTAGTAAGGGATGAGCTACCACAGTTCAGTAGGATAATCCTTTTCTCAAACATTTACAAAGTTTTAAATACCAACATTCCACAAACCATACGAATAAGTAATGAAAGTTTTCTATAATTAAATACAGGTACAAGATAATAAGTAAAACATTTATAAAAATCGCCAAACACCTCATCATTAGAAATATAAAAAGTATAAATTCAAAGTTTATATATTCAAAGTCAAACTATCATAGCAAGTACCATGCATGCCTCGCATATAGACAATATAATCAATCGCACTGGTTCACGCATGAACCATCATTGAGGAAACTTTTGGGTATTGTACCCTAGGATCTCATCGCCTTTCTTGCTTTTCAAGGGGAACGTGTAGGGCACAACTTTTAACGCCACATAGGCCATCACCAAAAATCACTACCATAACCAATCCCCCTTAGGACTAGTAACCACCTTAGCAACCCACTCAATAGGCCTCCATCGTCTACTAACCCTTTGCCTGTCAATATTGAGCATACAATTTTCAAAAATTATTATTTTCTATATCCATAAATCCTTTTGAAAACCCATGTCATAACCATGACATTTTATCAAACATATAGTATACTTAAATCTCAAATTTTGCATTTTCAAAGTAACACAACCAATTCCAAGAAAATAAGTCATATATATTATGCACAAGATCATAACATATTTCAAAACCCCCAAATCATAGGTTTAATCAAATTCACAAAACAAAAATCAAATTAGGGTTTCAAACCCATAACACTAAAATCATTTTTATGCATGTAGGTTCACAATTCATGGCATACTCTACAATAAATCAAGGTTTATAAAAAGTATTTTGCCATCAAACACATAGTAGGCTTTAACTAAAGAAAATTAATGAGATGTACAATGTAAATGCAAGAGAGAGGAAAATCCAACCTAGAAATCAAGAATTTCAAGCCAAGTTCCTAGGATTTTCAAGAAAAATTCAAACTTTAGATGCCTTCTTCTTCCCCTTTCTCTTTCCCTTTGTCTTCTCCTAGGGTTCTAAGAGGTTTTGGGTGAGATTTGAATGAAAGAATGGAAGAAAAAAGGCTGAAATCTATGTTTTAACTACAACAGTCTTGATTTTTTTACTGTTCATGGGCAAAAAAAATATATTATTTTTCGATATGACTATCCTAAGATTTTTTGACGTTCTAGATTCATTTTTAATGTTATTTTAACCTAAAAATATTTGATTTTATGATTTATCTCAAAACTAAATTTAATTTATACCTAAAATACTAAAATTACTATTTTACCCCTTCGAGCAACTACTTAAGCTAAACGTCCATTCCAAATTTTTTTGGACCTCTCGGATTCAATGATAATATTATTTTGACCTAAAAAAAATAATATTTTTACTTAGTTACCCTTATCAAGCTTAAACACCTCCAAAAATTAAATTTGACCCAAAAGTCAATACATTCATGCCTCAAACTTACTTGACTATTCCTGTAACAACGATTCAAAATTTTTCTTATCATTATAAAAATACTAGCAAGTTAATATCATATAACACACTGGATCTCACAAATGTACATGATTTATATTATGTATATTTGTATATTGTATATGAACTTAACGTTAATCACTTGTTTAACATATTAAAAATAGGTTCAAACCATGCGAAGGTAAAATAATGTTTAATATTTAGACGAAATTAATAGATTGGCAGATGGTCCTCAAAACTCAGTAAGGAGATTTAAAGCATATGTTATCAATGGGTTTCGTTTTCGCATAAAGGACATGGATAATCGTCGAAGCACTCAAAATAGTGGTGTCATAGTTACAAAAAATATCGTGAGTTTTGCTAGTAGGAAAGCCATTAATCTTCGCATGTGGGATGTGTCCTATTATGGAGTCTTAACAGACATTGTTGAAATTGGATACACTAATGATATGACGTATGTACTATTCAAGTGTGATTGGATTGATAACAATATAAGGAAAAAGGAAGATAGTTTTAAATTCACATTGGTCAACTTCAACTATTTTTTGTATCGAGAAGATTGGTTGAAAAATGAACCTTTCATCTTAGCGTCCCAAGCAGAGAAGGTTTGGTATATTGAAGACCCCTTGGAACCAGATTGGCATGTTGCTGTGAAGATGTCACGGAGGGACTTATTAGATATGCAATCTAATGACCTTCAGTCAGAGCCTTTTATTAATCAAGAATTGGATGAATATGTGATGATTCGCGATGATAATGCAAGTTGGGTGAGACAAGAAGTAAAAGTAGTATCAATTACCTTAAATGTTGATGTTCAAATCGATGTTGAAATGGATGGCAATAAAGATAGATGAAGTAATTTTAATCTGCATGTATGACATTCTTTAATTATTATTTGGATAAAATTATATCTTTGTGATCTAATCCGCATATATGTTGAGCTCATCGACACATAAATTATTACAATTTCTTAGTTCACCATGATTGTTACAAATATGAGGTTGATTACATGTATATTGTTGTATTGTTGTGTATTGATGACATACGTCATATGTTGTGAATCACATTTACCTGTGAATTGCATAGATTTTTTTATTATGCATTTATAATAATGATTAGTCATAAAAATAAGTAATATTAACCATTATTATACATTTTTCTTGTTGAACAATCATTATTTTGGTTGTAGGTTGGAGACAAAGTACACTTAGTTCAAAAGTTCCAAAACATATAGTGGTAGAGGGCCTTATTATTAGTAGGAACCAATCGACAAAAATAGATAAAATTCCATTGGGATCAAATTTTTGGCAAATATTTGTTGAAAATGCAAGAGATCTGAATGTGTGTTTGATAAAGTCTCGTCGAGGTATTCTTACAATTGGACAAACCGTTCAGAGAAATATTTCGTGGCCTTCTGTTGATGTATATTCTAACTTCTTTTAGTTATTTATTGTAGATATGTATATAAATATCATTTTACTATAGTAACAATAATTTTATGTTTTTTTCAGGTGTCACTGAGAGACTAGATGGTTCGGGAAGGATGTTCAACTTTTTGCATTAATTTCTTGTACTCATGGATCGTGATGTTTACAAAAATGCATATTTTACATTTTATTTAACTCATGAGATTTTTTTTCTGGATATGAAAATATTACTATGTTTTTGGAAATGTTGGTCATATTTACTTGTGTTTATCTATATACTGAATTGTGTAGTAGTACGGATGTGTACCTTTAAATTCATGTGATAGAAGTGTATATATGCACAAGGTATATATCATTGGTTACCAATGATCTATAATAATTAAAAAAAATTATTATTTTTTTTGTGGAGGCATCGTTGCCATCGTAAATATATTTCATTTAATGTAGAGAAAATTTCTTACTTTTTTGCGATAGTATATTAACCGCCATAACAAAGTCTTCTATTTTTTATGGCAGCCAAATGTGGTATGTGAGGCAGCACTTTTGCCACCGTGATAAAAGCAAAAGTGACGGATTTTTTTGCAACAACTTATTTACAACAGGGTATTGCAGTCGTAAATACTATTTGAAACAAACTATTATTGCCGTAAAAATCTTTTGAGACCACACTTATCATGGCGAAGCAATACCGCCACAAAGTATTTGTGATTAATAAAAACTTTTTTTCCTTTTTGTGATAGTCCAATTGAGTTCCTTGAATTTGAATTTTAAATTTTTGATAGAGATTTTATTGGCATATCTCCATTGACATTGAATTAAGGAATAATAATTTTCAAGTTAGGAAATTAATTTAAGCTGCTTTCAAGAAATAGTATTTTGGAGTTTTAAAAAATAGTGGACTTAACTACTTATTAATAAGATTAAAAACGAACTTATCCTCAAATAAATTTCATTAACAGACTCAACTCATTATAAGTCCCTTAAGTAGGACTCAACCCAATTTTCACTAGTTTTTTCAGGTTTTTGGGTTCTAGGATTTGAAGTCACGGTATTCCAATAGTTCGGGAGCTAGTGGGCCGACATAAACCTAATAGTGATTATGTGGTGTCTCATGGGTTGCAAGTCACTTAGTTTTACCTTTGAATGGTGAAATATTGATGTGAGTAGAGATGAAAAAATGATGTTGGCTAAGGTGCAAATTCTTGAAAGACAAAAATGATTGTGGTGACTTAGAAGAGTAGATTTGCATGCGGCGCTTGAAAAAATTGATGAATCAAAATCAAGAGAGTTAAATCCAATGGGTATAACCAAATTTGAAAAGTTTTTGAGTAATCAATGTGAGAATTATGAATAAAATAAGAAATGTATTAGAAGAATCTTAATAAACCATGAATCAGTTTATTAGTGGCTTGATATGAGACAGAGATGTCACAGTATCCAAATTGTATTAGGTTAATATTTTATTCCTATAAATAAGATTGAATATTACATAATCAGTTACGTAATACTTATTACGTACTAGTCTAATGACCAATTTTTTCAATGAATAATATATCAATGTAATTTTTAGTTCATGGATGTAGATACGTGTACTAATATGGGTACGTTGTATGGAATTATATTATATCTTTATGTCATATTTTTATTATTTTATTATTTTTGAATTTCTATTCTCCAATAAGTACTTTGTGTATTAATTATCCATAATACAAAATTAACGGTGATAGAATGAATCTTTGGATTGGACTTATCATCATTATCTAGGGTCAGTACCAAATATGATCATGGTTTATAAAGCAAATTTCTTACATTATGGTCGCTCATTGACATCCTAGTTGAAAAAATCGAACCCTTTGCGAATTAATTGGCTAAGCCATCTGAGAACTTGACACCGGTAGATGGCAACCACGATCGGCCATCGATGAAACGCCCCACCGTGAAGAAATTAGCTACCGAAGCATCCTTGATCATATGATAGCCAGGCCATTGGACCCTCCCGGATAGTGAAGCACCAGGACCATGGTTTCTATACTCCCCATACCACAATGAGTTCAAAGCAAAGTCTCCGTACCACTCTAGCCACCCTCTAGGCTGGACCTGCCCACTCAGGTACGTGTTCATAAACACAGTTCTGGAGTATTCTTTCCAGGGTCTGCCCAAGTAAGTGGGCCGGGTTGCATAAACATAACTGTTTTGAATTGAAAACCCGGTGCTTTGGTGAGGGTTTTTTCGGCCTTGAGCCGTGATGGTTACTTTTTGTAGTGGTAGAGGTTCCCTGGTGAAAATCTTGCAATTTTGGAGTACGGCTGCGCCGTTACCGAAAATAAAGTCGATGGTGCCTGAGATGCTGCATTCACGGTAGAATTGGCGGAGCGAGTGGATGTAGAGGGTGTCTTGGTAGCCTTCCATGCTGCAGCGGAAGAAGGCTGATTGGTCTGAATCGACTCGAAGTGCCACAGCCTGATGGTTTTCAGGCCCTGCCGTGTTACGAAATGTCATGTCCCTTGCAATGAATCCCTTGCCCGAAACAGCTACAAACAACAGGAAACAAAAACAAGAAGCTCACTGTCACTTGCATTCGTTGTGAATAATTGAAAACCCCACCAACTCTTTTATTACACTTGCAAACTGAAAAACAAAACAAGAAAAAAGAACAGAAAATAACAGTCTAACCCTTGATATGTCTCAGTTACGACAGCGATTAGGCATGGGTTCGAGTGGGTTGCATAATATTGAGTACAAACTCATGTCATGTGAAATCGGTACAACCTATGGCTGAATCATTTAAAATCATTCTATATTACCTTCAATTTGTATTCACTCATACATAGACATTCATAATCATTTATGGTTAGATTTGTGTCGTGTATATTCTATTGCGTGTTACCTTATTCATTGAATGAGTTTAATCAATAAACCTGTTGATAACCCAAATTTGGTACAATTAAACTTATGTTCGACAATTTTTTGTTATTAGCAATATTATTTTAGTTTAATTTGAGGACCTAATCAAAGACCTAATTTAATGTAATTGTTCAATTAATTGTGAATTTTAATCTCAACTGAAACTCATTTTTTTAATTTAATGATTGAATTGAATTAAATCTTCAAATATGATTTTCCTTCGGTTAGTTATTTATTGGATTGACGAGACTCGGTCCACAACTTGCATCCTACAATTATTTCACCCCAAGTTTAGAGGCCCACTGTCCCACAGTGCACAGTGGGCATTGAAAATGCAATCAACATAGCATAAGGAGTGACTTAGCATCTATTGGCATAGTCCACGGTTCACAAAGCAACATCATATGTTAGACTCAGCAGCTTCTCTAATACTGATGTAGTGATCAATCAATGGCCCAACATGGTTCTCACGGAAAACCACTTTGTTTCTGGTGGTAAATTGCCATTAAAATTCACCATTTTTTTTGATAAAGTTTCCCGAAATAGAGCATGTAGACTAGGATTTAATTAGACTTGACAGTACATCATACAATCTGTTAGCCTATAATGAAATCGATACGAAATTATCAAATATTAAAAAAATATTAATGAGTTTAAGATATAATCAAGTCGACAGATTTGACCTATTGATATGCTACATATGCCCAATTATGCGTGAACTTCTATGAGTTTGACTTAAAACATGACAAAGTATATGACGAATTGAATATATATTAAAAAAGATATAAACTCAACATGAAACGACTATAATTTAACACTTATTCTTCATCATATATCCTTGTAAAATTCAAAGCATTAAAGTTGATCGTGGAACCACAACGTCATCTTAATATCTTTGGTTGAATTGGCATTTTACCTATATAAATAGGCTCACAAATACGAAACTCTCAAGAAATGAACACCCCTATATAAATAGGCGGAGTGTATTTTATAGAAATAAAAACATGGCCAATGCCAATGTCCCAAGGTCATAAAAAATTGTCCAAAGCCAATTAAAGCAATTGAATGGCATGAAAGAGACATGCAAAATAATAGGAGCATAGAGAAAATAGGGCTAGCAGGGAACTCACCAACGGTGGCTGTTCTAAAGGTTGTCCATCCTTGCATGAAATTTCGGTTACCAGACACTACAGTGACTCCTATCCCATCCCCTACAAGCATAACATTGGTCTTTTGCTTCTTCATATCAATGTTCTCATGATAAACTCCTCTCTTTACATATATAATGTATCTTCTATTACTATATCTTGGAGCCTCATCAATGGCTGATGTGATGGAACGATAATGCCCACTCCCATCCAACGCCACGACTGCGTCAATGTGCTTACCTTTTGGCCTGGAAAGGAGCAACTCCTTATCACCATCTGTGATCCATTTCGGAAACACCATGCTCTCAGTTTCACTCTTTATGGTGCTATTTCTTTGTGGTTTAAAGGGTAAGCTATGTAATTGACTGTAAAGAGTTAAGACATTGCCAATGAGCTGTGTGACTTGTGTTAGACTTCCCTTTATGAAGGTCTCTACCTTCCGATCTGTGCCCTCAAAGCCTTCGAGGCATGTGTCTTGGTTGCTCAGAGCAGCACTAAGCCATGCTTTTAGGTTACCTTCGAGATGAACGTTCTTCGAGCCAGCCCGGATCTCCTTCATCTCTCCTAGAGACCATGCCAGCTCTGAAACTGAGAAATCGAGGAGTTCTTTGCAGTCCTCAATCGCTATTTGTTCCCGGGGACTTATTGATAAGCTATTGAACGTTGTAACCATTTCTTTGGCTAGTCTTGCCTCATTGAGTGTAGCCTCGAGCGCTGCTCTGAGGATTGAGGTGGGGCTTCTATGCCCTGAATCTGCAAGCCTGGATTCCAAGTTTAACAGGCATGAACTATGGTCTTCGACGTTATTGCAAGCTTGAATAATCATGGTTTGCAATGTCTCGTTTTGGTGTTTCGAAACATTTCCGTAGGAGAGAACATCAAGTGAAGAGAAAATAATGAGAAGGGAGAGAAAATGAGCCAATGCCATTGATCGAGTAAGATGGCGCATGGGAAAGGAGAAGATGGCTGTGGCAATTTTGTCTGGAAAGAGTTATTGATTTGAGAAATGCAGCGTGATTATTCATTGTTTGTTGTGAAAGAAAAGGTGATTTTTCAGGACATCAAAAAAAAAATATGCCTTTTCCCACAACAAAGTTCAAGTGATGCTTACTTGCATTGCATGACATCGTGCCGAAAGTCACCTACTATTTCTGCCTTGCTGGGTAAGTAAGCTTCTTCAGAGTTCAAACGAGGGAGGTCCTCTTAATGTTAAGCTATTTAGCGGATGATGAACGGCCACACATGTGCCATCAGTCCAGTAATCCTGCCCATCAGATCAATGCAAATCCATGACACAGTATACTCATGGAATGACGATATATCGATATAGTAATGCTAAACAGATTTAAAATTTAGACTTAAAATACAGGTTTGGTCTTGTGGCTGCTGATGTATACCAGCAATGTCATCAATTTCTTGTCCAAAAAAAATAAAAAATAAAAAATCTGTTTTTAAAAAAAGATCAGATGACTTGGTCGATCATCTTCTCCAGTCCCTTTCACGAAACCAAATACCGCCAACCACCCATACGATTTCTTTATCAGCTCCTCCCTACCCCCTTTCTATTTAAAAAAATTGAACCCAATAAATTGGGTTTTCTCCATAGCCACATCCGAAGCCGAACTGGTTGATGTTTCACCCCTATGCTTAAGACCTTTCTGTTTAAAAAAAAAAATTGAACAGTCGATTGTTTCACCACATCCGAAGCCGAACTGATTGTTGTGGCTCTTGGGTGAGGTCTTCAAGGGTTTTTTGGAATTCCTATGGATGGCCGACGGTGTTTGGTTTAGTGAAAGGAAAGGGAGAAGACGAGGGAAGTGGGAACAAGGAACAGAGAATCTTTCTTTAAAAATAGATTTTTTATTAATTTCTTTTTTTTGGAAAGAAACTGATAACATGACTGGTACACATCAGCAACCACATCATCAAGTCTGTATTTTAAGTCTGTCTAGCATTGCTCTATGGATATTCTTTTCATTAACTTTTCAAGTGCAACGTTGATTTTGGGAGAGTATCCAATATGTCATGGCACCCATTACCTAGATATTAGATAATTCTAATATTTTATAATTGATTAACTTTTTTGGAGTTATAAATTGAGCCTCATTCAGTTGCAATTAATTTTTTTGAATTATAACTCAACCTTAACTGAGTTATAAGTAATTCTTATGGAATCATAACTTTACAGTAACAATCTTGTACCCAAAGTCATTCCATAATATGTAAATTATGCGAAAAAATTTAATGCCGATTCTTTACTTAGACCAGTTGGTAACTTGATCCATGAGTGTGGGTCAGACCTTGTCTCAATCTGGTTTATGACGTAGGTTGCGCTCTCTCTTTACTAAACCCCTGCTGGCGTCGCCCGGTCAAACGCGTTATGTATTATGAAGAAATCTCTAAAAGTCCTTATATATAAATACTAGTTATTACACCTGAAAATACATAGTAATAAAAAAAATAATTAATAATAAATATATTTGTATTAATATTAAAAATTAAATCATAAAATATAGAGGAGAGAGAAAAAAAATTAAACCTTAGTTGTAATAGGGGTGAGCAGTGGTACTAGTGATAGGCGGCAGTGGGAATAGTGGTAGAAGACGGTGATAGTTGTTGTGGGTGGCGACGATCATGGTGATGGTGGCAACCGTGGGCAGCAACGATCATGGTGCTGGTTAGTTTTAGGTGACAATGGCGGTAGTGATAGACATGGGTGACTACGGTGATGGTGGTTGGTAATAGTGGTGGTGGGCAACGACGAATTCTTCTAAATGATAATGTGATGAGTGGTGTCAAATGACAATGGTGGTGATGGTGGTAGGTGTGGATGACAGTGGGCAATGATGGTGACAACAATGGTGGTGGTGATGGGGTGAAGGCGGCAACGGTGGTGGTGGTGGTGGTAGTGATGAGACGATAGGGTGATAGTGGTAGGGGTAATGGTGGGACAGTAGCGGTAGTGGTGCGGTAGTGACAGTGATGATGGTAGGGTGGCGACAACGGTGGTGGTGGTGGCGGTGGTAGAGGGGATGGAGGTGGTGGGCTGGCGGCGATGGTTGTTGTGGCAAAAGGTAGTGGTGGGATGGCGGGCAATGGTAGTAATGGGGGCGAGGTGGTTGGAGTGGGGTGGCGGTAATGGTGGTGGATTGGCGACGGTTGTGGGACGATTTCAAACACTATTTTTTTTTAAAAAATAATTATGAGAAGTTATAAATTACTTTTAAAAAGTCATTCAAACATACTCTTAGAGGTCTATTCCCTATTAAATTTGAGATATTAATATTAGACGTCAGATTAATTTTAAAGTAAAATTTAAAGAGATTTTCACCGGAAAAAATAAAAATTATTTTATTTATCTTTTAAAATTTAAATTGTATTTTACTTTATTATATAAATGACAGAGTCCAACCATTAAGCTATCCCAAAAGTAGGAAGTGACGACGGCAGCTCCAATATATATCAATCAATAAAAAAATTAATATACATACAGTCACCTGAAACATGAGGCATTCAATACATTTTCTCCCATTCCAAGTAAGAACATCTTGCTAGCCTAATGTTTATGAATCCAAATAGCAGCGAGAAATTTCTCTTATGTTCACATAGTGCGCTAGCATCATAGTTCGTACTTTTTTAATACCAATTGATGATCTAAATATAACTTAGGGTTAATTGCACCGGAAGTCCCTAGAATATAAAGTTTGTGTCATTTTAGTTTTTAATATTTTAATTACATCATTTTAGTCCCTGAAATATTGAATATATTTCTATGTGATCCCTCAAACAGTTAATATCCAAATTGCTAATAGTTATTTTATCATAAACTTGTAACATGATACATAAATATGGGCAAAAAATAAATTGGGTAGTTCTTGACCAAAATTTAGGTAGCTCCTAACCAAAAATATATAATATAGGTAGCTCTTGATTAAAATTTGGATAGCTTATGATTAAAAACTGTGTAATTTGGACACCTCTTTGACTGAAATTTGTATAAAAATTTGGTCAAGAGTTATCCAAATTATTTTTTTTCCCATATTTAGATATTATGTACAAGTTTATAATAAAAAATTATTAGCAATCTGAACGCTGTCTGCTTGAAAGACCACATAGAAATATATTCAATACTTAAGAGACTAAAATAATGCAATTGAAATATTAGGGACCAAAGTGAGACAAATCTCATACTTTGGGGACCTCCAATGTATTTAACCCCATAACCTAAGAAGGGATAAATTATATTGTATAAGTTAATAACTAATTTTTACTTTCTTTAATTGTAACTAATTATGCAATGTAACAAATGTATGATGAAGAAATGTAATATGAAAGAAGCAAGTAAGTAGTAGGAAAGAAAAAAGATAAATCAGATTTATAGAGATTCGGTCAAATCACTATTAATGTGTATGTTCAATGTTTGTCCCACGCCGGTTATACTAGGATATTTTACTATTCTCTTGTATTATAATTACACCTCCTTATGTATATGGAAAAACACACCAAAGCAATATAAAATTGTATTCACTTTCTAATCTTTTCTTTCTCATGGTATCAAAGCCTAGGCTCGTGAATTCTTCTGGGCAAAAATAGTATGCTCTGTGGTTGCCCTACAAGGGATTCTTCACATCAGAACTCTTGTGGCTATTCCTCTTCCAACCATCCTCCGCCGAAGTTCCGACCATCGTCCAACGAAATTTCGATCTATTTAGGCAACCTTCCAGCCATCTTCCAAAGAACTTCTGATCTGTTCTGGCCATCCTTCGACGGCCTCTTGGTCATCCTTCGGCGAAGTTCCAATCTGCTCCAGCAACCTCCCGACCATCCTCTAGCGAACTTCCAATATGTTCTGGCCATCCTTCAGCGACTTTCTGGTTGTCTTCCGATGGCATTCCGAAAGCCTCCAAGCCATCCTCCTCACGACTTTCTAATCGCCTCTTAGTCATCATCTGGCGACCTCTGTTGTCCTCCGGTGACGTTCTGATCACCTCCGAGCCATTCTCCAACGACCTTCAATTATCCTTCAGCAACTTTCCGGTCATCCTCTAGTGACATTCTGACCAGCCCCAACCAATTTTTTATGCTCGTTCTAAAGTCACCAGGTCCATTCCACTTAATATGGTCATGGCCGCTACATTGTCTATGTGACGCTTCCAAATTTGGGTGTCTGTAATTATCCCGTTGATCACCCGTCAACCCGTAGAATACCCCTAGATACCGTAAATTTGATACCACGCCATTATGTCCCATTTATCGGGATCCATAACTCAACAAAATTCGGATAAAGTCTCCTTTGTACAGAGAGCTTTACCCAAAATGTAACTTGTGCAATCATACAATATTGACCACATTGAGTTCATTCATCCATACTCAATTGCATAGCATCAGATACTACCATAATCATCATCACTACGTACATTCATTCATAAAAGAATAAATGTCTCAAAAGAGTCCCATGTACATGCCTTTTAAATATAAACAAGTTTTAGTTACAAAAATTATACAAGGCCAAATTTAAATATATATATAAGGGACTACGACGTCAAAATAAGAGCCACAGTCTGGCTTTGTCGTCAAAGCGGACCAGTAGGAGGGCCTTTTGTGAAAGTCAGTGGTGTACCTGAAAATTGTTCCCATAAAGGGTGAGTCAGTGCTCAATAGGATAACTTCTATAGAGAATACCTCTCAACCCAAATACATATGAAATGTCACACGCAACAATTATTTCATGCTTTCATTCAATATGTCTATTATGAACAAATGCCATGAGATGAGACTCACGCAAGTAATACCAATATCGAGCCCCATTCCAAGCTCCCACAATACATGCATGTCATGCTTATGTATGCTGACATTCCAAGCCCCCATCATTGGTGTTATGTACACTCAATGACTAATTAATTCATTTTATTATGTCTTTGAGAGGAGATGATTTATGGTATTTTACCAATGGTACACCACACCATCAACAAATTTTCAGGACATCCCACCTGCGGCTCCGTTTTTGCCATTAAACTTTTCTAGAATTGCACCGCCAAAAAGTGTATAAACCAAGTAAATGGGTCTTGCACCCGAGAGAAAAATCTATCCCTTCTTGATATATCCCGACACGTTTATCCATTTATTTTTTTGTGCGACTCAGCCGACCTTGATGTGACTTTCTTGATCCCACGATCAACCACCTATGTGGTGATTGATTTTATACCATGCACACACTCCCACCCATGTCAATGCCCATGAATATAGTGCAACCCATGCATAATGAAATACAATGTGCAATTACATTTGGTACCATTTACAATGTCCATTACATAATGAATGAAATATAACGACATTTTCTACACAATCTCAAACATGTTATGTAAGATAATGAACTCAACTAACATACTTACATTCACCTAGGCATGTAAACAAGCACCTAGATGGCACATCAATTTACACAACTAGCATGCTTCTTACTTCCAACATGACAACATGTTTATTAAGTCTATAAACATAAGCACAAGTCCATCACATTAATCATATGCTAAATAATAATTTAACATACATATTATTTCATAATTATGTAACAAGCTAATAATTTTATTAAACTTGATATGCCAGTAAACATCAAGTCATGCTAATGTACAATTAACATGCTTTAAACCACTAAAATTATCTTACACCAACTTAATTATAATAAGAATATACAAAAATATAAAAACAAAACTTAATTATAATAATATTTTACTAATTACAAGGTTAATTATAAATCCTATATTTGACCCACTAGTTACATTATTCAATACCTAACATTTGATATACATCCTTAGCCTACCAATTTCATATCCCATCTTTTAGGTTGAAATTATGTCTAAATAGGGGAAACCCTACCTCTTGTAGCTTGAGCTCACGTAGTAGAACTCTAAGAAAAGCCCAAATTTAGCTTCCCAACCCTTATTCCTAGATTCTCATCTTTGATATTTTTAGAGAAAAATGCGATCTTTGGTATGGTTGTGTAGCTCTTGTTGCATAGAGTAACTTTAATTCTATGCCCGGAGCGATTAAACTGTTTGATCTTTGTAGATCTGAGGAAAAAGGTTAAAAATCTAACTTTTTCCCTTTTTCTTTTCTTTTTCTCTCCCTTTTCTCTCTTACTACCGAGGCTTGCCAAGAATTGAGTGGGAAGACTAAAAGTCTTCCACTTTATATACTTTTAAATGCTTGGATCACATCGCGCCACACGTTTAATTTTAACGAGTCCAATTTTATTTCAAATCAATTAAATTTTGTCTCGCGTTAAATTTAATATATTTTTATTGAACTAACTTTAAATTATTTTTTGGGTACTGCAAATAAAATTTTATCTCAATTATTTTATTCGCGCGACACCCTACCCGATCGGTTTATTGAGTAGCTAGATTTTACGAGATGAATCCAATTGTGAGATCCATTTCATCATCTGAATTATATAAAAATTTACATTTTTAACCATTGCTTTAATAAATAATTACTATTTTACCCATTTAATTAGAATTTTAATAAAAAAAAATTCTCGGGTTTTACATTCTCCCCACTTAAGGGAATTTCGTTCCCGAAATTACACCCACATGTACATATAACAACATACACATGCAAAAAAGTCATTCAATACTCTATTACTATAAGAGACATACCTCCATCCTCAAACAAAACGGATAGGTAGCTTAGATAGTGTCCTCACGCTCTCATGTCGCCTCCTCCACTTCATGGTGTTGCCACAGTACTTTCACCAGCCTCACAGTCTTGCCACGCAAAATCTACTGTCAACTGTCCATGATATGCATCGGTCCCACCTTAAAGGTCTCATCAGCATCAACCACCACCTCACCCCAATCCACCACGTGTATAGGATCTGGAGTGTACTTCCGGAGCATGGAGACATTGAACATCATGTAATATCGGATAGATTTGGTGGTAATGCCAACTGTTAAGCGGTTGTACCAACCCTCTCGAGTACCTCAAAGGACCCGTAATACCTCAGCAATAATTTTTTTCGCTTTTCGAACCTGACCACTCCCCTCTTAAGCATCACCTTCAAGAAGACATGATCTCCGATCTCGAACTCCAGAGGTTGCTGCCATTTGTCGGCGTGGCTCTTCTGCCAGCTCTAAGCCGTGAGAAGACGCTTTCGTATCAAGTCCACCTTCTCTGAGGTGCCTCTAATTAAATTCGGACCCATGGAGGGTCTCTTTCTAACCTCTGTCCAACAAATCGGAGAATGACACGATCTCCCATAAAGTACCTCATAGATTGACATCTGTATTATAATGTCCCAAAATCTACCTTGGACAACATTACTATCTAAAATCATTCACATCATGAGAGCAACTAATAAAATTCATAAATAAAAAAAATTTCATTCATCATACATAATATCTATAGCATCATCCAAAAGAATGTGTCAAACTATGACATTTACACCTAAAAATCAAATATTATCTTGCAGTAGAATAAACCAAATATCATCCATATAATGTCTCAAAATGCATCCCTAGTCTAGAACATAATGAGATCAACTCTAGACATCCCCCTCGGGGTCCATGCTTTCATCCAACTGAGCTTCCCAAGCTACTTACTCATCAAATCTGAGCTCGTCCTCTGAAACAAAATCTAAAAATAAATATTGTTTGTAGGGGGTGAGCACTAAGCTCTGTATGAAAATCCTCCTAAACTCAAACAAGGTTTAGAAAACATATAAAACCAGTCGGTCTCATTTTACAAATATCATATATGAATTTTAAAATAAAACAGTGATAGTTCATCCAATCTCAAGTTTACACAATATTAATGAATAGAATGAATAAGTAAAACTAATTTTCAAACCACAAACCTTTCCAATATCAACTATTTCCAACAGTTTCTTGTATCATTCCCCACAATATACCATTACCCACATTATGTATCTATATCTTCAATTGTATCTTTGGTAGAAAGTAAGATTTCGCATGAATATACACATTGAGAATATTCTGACCCACACACATACCCAATCCTCGCAAGGATACACCACATTAGGAAGAGTGCATATCGATGCATCGACAACAACAAATCCAACCAAGGAATATTATACTAACCCTCAGCCTCAGTACCACGTGAGCAAATAATGGTTTGGTCCTCGCAAGGCACCAACCCTACTACGAGTGGTAGGGAACCTTCAAACCCACACGGAGTAAGAAACGCATCTACCCACTCTAAGATACCCGATCAACGGCCACCCATGTTCATCCAAACATCCACAAAAGAGATAAAATACCAAAATAATTTCTCAAATCACAAGTAAATCAAGAACCCCCAATTTCCATGTATTTTTTCAATGGAACAATTTAAAAAAATATGCAAGAGATCATCAAATATATAATTTTTAGTGTTCAAACTAAGAATTAGAGTTTTTAAATCAATAACAAAGGAATATCAAGAGAAAAATCTCTATTTCTTGAAAAACTAGGTTTTGACATCAAAACAAGGATTTTATAGCTATCAAACCATAACTTCATTCAAATCATGGTAAGGTTCGCAAGAACATCAAGAAACAAAGATTTCATGACATATATCTAAGATTTAGAGTCAAAACATACATATATATAAACTCTAATCTCAATGGACAAGACTGAGAAGAAACCCCAACCTTTCTTCCTTAGTGTTGTGTGAAAAACTAGAAGATTTGATCCACTTTAATGTGAAAATTACCCTTGATCTTGTGTTTCTCCCCCTATTTCTTTCTCTTTAAGACTCTCTAGGGTTAGAAATGGTGAAATGAGGCTAAGAATCAGATCACTTATCATGAATCTGATACTGAGGATTTTGACCTCACATTCGAACGTCATTTGGCGTTCGAATGTTAGTAGTGCAAATTACTAATTCACGTTCGAACGTCATTATGACATTTGAACATTAGTTGCTCCTAGTAATTTTACCTTTTCCATCAAAGCCCTGCAGGCACCAAAGTACTAGGATTCACTGTCGTTCGAACATAGATTCACGTTTGAACG